TCAGCTTTCCTGCTCCTGTGATGCTGCTTGGCCTCCTGTGTTCATCCAGCTCTACACCTTGTTACCTCTGTTAAAGATATAGCTTAGTTTTAAACAGTTGTCAGAATTTGAAATGGCGTCCAGCAAATAGATTTTGTAAACATTGCACCATTATACAAACTTCTGCTCCAATCCAATTACTATCTGCCTAAACAGCATTATGCCACAAATCTGATATATAGTACTGGCCATAGCTCAGTGGATAGCAGTTTTGCCTTTAAGTTGTGAGGTTGTGCGTTCACATCTCTCTCCAGAGACTTAAACCCATATTTGAGGCTGACTGACGGTACAGTACTGAGGAAATGTTGCACTGTTAGAAGTCCCGTCTTTCAGATTAGACATAAAACCAAGGGCCTGACCAACATTTATCCCTCACCTAACAAATTAGAAGCAGTTTACGCAACCATTTACCTGGTTGCAGTTGATTGGATCTTGCTGTTGTAAGTTGACTACTGCATTTTAAATTGGCTCCTTCAGTATTGAAGTGATTGAGTGACTGAAGTGTTTTTTTTCTTTTCAATGTCTTTACAAATAAAATGTATATAAGTATGACAAGCTCTCATTTTGTTCAATTGTATACATTATGACTGTCTCTAAATCCTTTTGAATACTGATTGTGAATATGAAGTATGTAAATAATTTCACTACAGTCAATCTGTAAATTTGTTCTGCTTTACATTATTTCTCATTAACTGTTACACACCCCATTTAGATGTTAGCAGTCTAGTTCCAAAGCTGAATCTGAGGAATGAGTTTTCCAGTTTCACTTTGACCAACATTAATTTGGTTGTAGTTAGCCACATAAAGACTGTGGCTAGAAAAGCAGGCTAATTAATGGGTCACTTTTTGATTTCCAAAAGCTTATTCATCATTTACAAGGCACATGTCAGGAGTGTGATGGAACACTCCTCAATTGCCTGGATGAGTTGAGATCCAACAATACTCATGAAATCCACATTAATCCAGGATGAAGCAACCTGTTCAATTTGCACCACTTCTATTACCTTAAGCATTTATGCCTTCCACCACCAGCACATGGTGATGGCAGTGTGTCCCGTCTGCAAAATGCACTGCAGCAACTTGCCAAGGCTCCTTTGACAACACTTTTGAAACCACCTCCACCGAGAAGGACAGAGGCAGTGATGCATGGGAACACCACCACCTGCAAGTTTCCCTCAAAACTACATGTCGCCCTGAATTGAAAGTATCTTGCAGTTTTTTTCACTGGCAGGTCAAAACCCTGGATTTCCCTCAATAATGGCACTGTGGGTGTAACTAACTACCTGCAAAGGCTGCAGCAGTTCAAAAAGGCAGTTCAGATGCAATTACGTGAAGGGCAGTTAATGCTGGTCTTGACCGTGATGCGCAATAATGTTGTTAGACCACTAGACCATCAATTCTGGCATGGCTTTAGAACATCTGTTTGATTCACTGTTAACAAAACTCAAATGCAGAACCTTGCAAGTTTCTCAAACTGTTGATTTGACTCTGGGGTCACATGTTTTGGCTATGACTATTCCTGGAGTCACAACACACAATCTGAGATCAGTCCAAGTTGTTAACTTGTAAAGAGAGTTGTGTGGGATGTTGTATTACAACATTAGAATCTGGATGTTCAGCAAGGGTGATGTGTTTTGTGAAAGCTCATCTCGAAATTTTATATCCGAGAGGGGAAATTGACGTGGCCACATCCCTCCATTTGTGTTGGGGTGATTTCCATGAAGCCTGAGTAAAAAGGCAATACATCTTTGGTTTGTGTGTCATAAATACTTCCTCTGGCTTGAATGGGTACAAACCCAACTCCAGATCTTGGAGATTTGGACGTCACCATTAAATCCCCCACTGCAGAAGGAAGTGGGTCAATAGATTAAACTGTCAAATGCCTGAAACAGAGTCTGAGCCCATCAGACATAGGCCTATTGCTGTTTCTAGCAACATGGAGAAACAGATCACTTCCTAAACACATGTTTAAAGCAGGAACTCACAGTACAGTTGGGTTCCCTGTTTAAAATATTCTGTTGCTGCATAGGTTTCCCAGGAGTCTGGAAATGCAGTAGTGAGAAGAAAGCCAGAACTATTTCCTTCAGGAGGTTAACAGCCTTTTTTAGAGCTGCCTGTGGGCAAGGAGGAATGGGAATGGTCCCTCACAGGCTGTTTGAGGGAGCCTTATTAAATGTGCTGGATCTTTCACAGATGTTTACCTTTCATTTTTTTATTTTGATTTCAGTTTCAGCTGCAAGGATTTGATATCTCCTGTTCGACTTCCACTGCAAACAGGGACAAGTGTTGCGAACTTCCCGGCCTGGTGAGTAGGGAATCAAATAGCATCACTTTCTGTACGGGTACTATCCTTGGATTCCTAGATATTTATAATTTGGATTCAAGAAGATGGTTCTGTGCATGTGCGGGGTGTTTATCCAAGTCTTCCCAGTTATTCAATTGAGTTAGCCTCTTTCATTGTAATAACCTTAAAAATCAATGAACGGCTACAGAAAGAGAACAGATTAATAATCAGGCTAATAAGCACAAATGAACTTTTATGACATACATTGTGTTGAATGACCTGTGGGCAGAGCATATGCATTAGGTAATGGGGAACGCTTTGTTACATTCTCTACATACCTTGTTCCTTGATTTGATTGAAATTTGAGGCATTGCATTCCAGCCTTACCATCTCTCTGAATGCTATGTCCCTCCATTCAGGCCAAGCATAAAAAGGGTAAAGAAGCATCGGGACACATAGAGCCATGTTTAGTTTCCTTACTTGTCCCATTACCATCTCCTTTTGCCTTGCACCATCATCTCTTTTGTCGTAGAGTCATAGAGCTGTAAAGCACAGAAACAGACCCTTAGGTCCAACTTGTCCATGCCAACCAGATATCCTAAATTAATCTAGTCCCATTTGCAGCATTTGGCCCATATCCTTCTAAACCCTTCCTATTCATGTACTTCAAGATGCCTTTCAAATGTTGTAATTGTACCTGCCTCAACCACTTCCTCTGGCAGCTCATTCCACACATGCGCCACCCTCTGCGTGAAAAAGTTGCCCCTCAGGTTCCTTTTAAGTCTCTCCCCCTCTCACCTTAAACCTACGCCATCTAGTTTTGGTCTTCCCTATTCCAGGAAAAAGACCTTGGCTGTTCACCCTATCCATGCCCCTCATGATTTTATAAACCTCTATAAGATCACCCCTCAGCCTTCGACACTTCAGGGAAAATAGCCCCAGCCTACTCAGTGTCTTCCTATAGCTCAAACCCTCTAACCCTGGTCACATCCTTGTAAATCTTCCCTGCACACTTTCAAGTTTAACAACACCTTTCCGATAGCAGGAGACATCTTTCCTGCCTTTCGTCCTATCATAGAGTTTTTTGTCCTTTCTCCTTCCCACTTTCCCTGCCTCTGGATTTACTTGAAACCTGTCACATCTCTGACCTTCCCCAGTTCGGGTGAAAAGTCATCAAGCTCTTACACTAACCCTGTTACTGTCTCCACGCATGCTGCCTGATCTGTTGAGTATTTCTGGCAGTTTCTGTTTTGAGTTTCAATTTCCCACATCCACAGTAAATTGCATTTGTGATATTTCCAGTCAGTGATTTCATTAGAACTCATGGTGTACCTCCTTAAAGCTAGAAATTCATCCTATGGTGTGAAGTCCAATGTTGCACACAGTACAAGTCTGGTTTTAAATCATTTTACCATCATCTTGTGGATTCTGTATTCCATGTATGTAACACAATAGTTAAACTTGTAATGGAAATTCAGAGGTTTCTATTTGCTGAATTGTAAAAAAACTGACTGTCCACTGTTTTCACAATTCAGAAGCTGAATGATGCTGGAGTTAAGAATCCTCCAAGGGTTCCCTTTTGTGTGTATGTGGTCCAAGCAGGCTGCAGCTGTGAATTCCTGCCTGCCCCTCATTTCCTAAGCAGCATCTAAATAGAATGAGCTCGGCAGGCAGCTGCATTAAACAGGTTGTGTCATTAACAGCTGACAGAATGGAACAGGACCCCCAGCATCTGGAAATGTAATCCCATGTTATCAATGCAGCAAGGCATATTGGATGAGCTGAAGTTGTTGGAGGGTGCATGGGGAGAGGCTGACCAGGAGAGCATCGGAATTGTTCAGTCTGCCATTGGGAAACCAATTTGATTGACTATTTTGTTTGTCAGTGGGTGATCTCTGTATAAGTAAGAGAGGGCTAGCACACTCAGGGGCACATAGACAGATAAATGGTTTTGCCCTTTTGTTGCCAGTCATGGGTACCAAATGTGTGCTGTCAACTTTGACCTGACTTTTTGCTCCGGGTTACATCATGCGCAGTTGTCATCCCAGTAGTGTAGGCAATCAGTGAGATTGTTTTCAGCCTTTACAGCTCTAGCTGTGACCTGCAGGGCTCTAGGAAAAGAGCAGGGGAATGGCACTAATTGGATAGCTCTTTCAAAAAGTCTGCATGGGTACAATGGGCAAATTTTAAAAATTCTTCCATGGGATGTGGGCATGATTGATAAGGCCATCATTTGTTGTTCACCTTCCCTGTCCTGGAACTGAGCAAAGCACAGTTAAGAGTCAGTTACATTACTGTGGGCCTGGAGTCACATGTAGGCCAGGTAAGGTTGGCAGATTTCCTTCCCTAGTGAATCAGAGGGTTTTGCAACAACCATGATCATAAGTACTGAGACTAGTCTTCAGTTTCAGATTTCATTAATTAATTGAGTTTTTGTCTTGGCCTCTGACTTGCTGGTTCAAGCCACCATCTCACCTATGGCCTTTCTGCAATAAGGGTCTGTGAATAGCTGGAATATATGAGTTTTGCATGTAAATATTTTTAATCAACCTGTTCAGGCATGTTGTGAAACATAGGTAGGATTTGAAGCCAGACCTTCTGGCCCAGAGGTCATGACACTTTCTGAAGGCATTCTTAAGGCAGTGTATAACAATTTCCCATAATGCTAAGCTAAAGCAGTAACAGATTTCTAACAAAAGAAATGGCTGTGGTAGGGTGAACATATTGTGGCCAGATTCATCAGTCCTGAATAAATGTATATTGGGGACTCATGGAGATAAGGACTGAGTTCAGCTTTAGTCTCTGAGTCATTGCTTGCGTAGCATTGTGCATGTAGGAGAGAAAGAAAAACAAGTCCACTCATTGAGGAAATAAATCACATCTTGTAGGCTTGTGAAAATAACTTCCAATGCATTCCAACCTTCAAACTTCTGATTTTAAAGGATGCTGTTGTTTACAACAGGGAGAACATGTTTTATTGTTTCCAATAAAACTCCATAATGATTTATCTTATTTAGACTGTTACTTCCCAGATTTTCCTTGTGATTGTAAGTTAGTAACTCTTGTTGTTTTGGTAACTGCCAGAAGAACCAAAAGAGGGATAGGGATTTTTGTTTTGAGCAGTAAATTGATGTAATGTGTTGCCTGAAAGGACGATGGGAGCAAATTCAATAGTGACATTCGAAATGGAATTAGATAAATACTTGAAGGAGAAAAATTACAGGGCTGTGGGTAAAGGCAGGACTAATTAGGTAGCTTCTTCAAAGACTTGGCACATCCACACAATGGGTCAACAAACCCGTGGTCTCTTTCTGTGCTGCATCATTTTCTGCTTTGATGGGCATTGACAGCTCTCAGATGCCTTGTTCGTTGTTCGTGTGTGAATCTAGGGAGAGAACAGCAGCATTTTACTTTGCAATGGGATGGGGAGTGGGGGTTTTCTCCCAGATTTTATGTTGAATTTATTAAGGGAGTGCGGGAGAGGAGTGAGGGACAATTAGTTTGACTGTATCAAACTGTTACCTATTGCCACTGAAAATGCTTTCGGTGAAGGTTACAGGGTAGTGATTAGATACAGGAAACTGTAGTGACTGTAACGAGGTCAGGCAGGTGGACCTTACAGAATATGAGTTCACTGACTGGGGCTGTTAACCTGATCCAATCAGGGAGCCCTGGCTGACAGATAGAAACAAATGTGTTAGGGGTTCTGGTTACTCTAAGAGCCGGCTCTGTGCTAGCTGGGTCAGTCTCGTGTACTACGCATGTGTAAATAAAGGGTAACATGGTGATGGGATACCAGCCTTCTTGGGGTTATTTCAGAACCCTTGCCCACTTTTCCTCTCCATAGTCCTGGGACGGCTGAAACTAAATATACTCCACTTGTTGACATTGGAAAGTCACTACAACAAGTTGTGATCTGATCAGTCACATGCTGCTCAGTTTCCCCACACTGAATAGAATTACATAGAATTTATGCGGAGACAGGCTATTCAGCCCTGCTCACCCGAATTAATGTTAATACTCCAGGCAAGCCTTCTCCAAAACTACTTCATCTTGCTCGATGAAGTTATCTTCTTTTTCCTTTCTCCATTTTGATTGTCCAGCTATCCTTTATTCACCAGATCTGCTCCCTGTGTTAATGAATTCATTCTCATGACTCTGGGTAATGAGGTATCTCCTGAAATCCTTGTTGGATTTATTGGTGATTATCTTGTGTTGATCACCATCAGTTTCACACACCCCCATAAGTGGAAACATTTGTAATTTTAAAGACTTCTAACAGATCACCCCTCAGCTTTCTTACCAGAGAAAGAAAGCCTAACTTTAATCCCTTCATCCTGGCATCTTGTTGGAGCCTTCCCTCGTTCCTGCCCGTCCTTTTACAATATTCTGCTGTGTCACAGAACAGAAATGGACACTTGGTTAATTTTCCACTGGCATCGTATTTCTGCAGAGTGCTAGTTTTGTGATTTTTTTTATGAAAGGTAATTTTTATCGAGAGTTCAAAGTCAGAGTGATCTTGTAGACAAGCCTCAACTGCCTAGAGTACTTGGAGAAAAATGTCCAAGTTGCCCTGGCGTGGTTGTGGGGGATGGGAAGAGTGAATATATGAGCAAGAGTAGGCCATTCAGCCCTTCAAGCCTGCTATGACATTAAATAAGCTCATGGCTGATATGCTTTTAACCAAAATTCTGCGTTCCTGTATACCCCCAACTATCTTCTATCCCCTTGCTAATCAACAATCTATCGACCTCCAACTTCACAAATATTTAAAGATTCTGCATCCACTGCTGTTTCAGTGGAATTCCAAACATTCTCAACCCTCTGAGAGAAAAGTAACGTTTCCTCATTTCTGTTTTAAATGGATAATCCCTTATTTTTAAACTGGTTCTGGTATCTCTTACAAGAGAAAACATGCTTTCAACATTTACCTGGTCAAGTCCCGCTCGGGATCTTGTATTTTTCAATAGGTAAATCTGATTGCCCACTGTCTGAAGAGACCGTGTGGTTTTGAGTGGTCTGGGAGTGTCTATATTGTGATACATAAAGGACTGGATTTTATAGCTCACTCGCACACAGGAAAACAGATGGATGGATCAGTAAACTAGAATACTATTCCATTGTTGGCAAGTCCACCCACACATGCCTTGCCACAACTTTACGGTTGGAAGGGGTGGCAGACGGTGTGCTGCTCGTACCCCAATTGGGACCATTAAGTGGTCAGTGGCTTCTGTCATTTAACCCTGCAAGCTGCTGGTTCGTGAAAGGCATATTCTTCCCGGGTCCCTTTAGCAATTGAAAGCCCCCGCCCCATAATTTTGACTCCAAGTGTCTACTCTTCCTCCTCATCCTACTTCCTCGTCCCTGCCCTCTCCAACATGATTTCCCCCATGCATACATTGCACCAGCGCCTGACGACACCTACTTCTCTTGCACTTGTTAAACAGCCATCATCCAAAACATTTAATTGGGGTTTCTAGGGTCATTAAAATTTGCAAAAAAGAGAAAGCTCAAATTCATTGAAAAGCCCTGGAATTTGGGGAAGAATGAGCAAGAGTTCCAATGCTTTACTCCTCTCTGTAGTCATTTGCTTCACCTTGCAGGTCCCAGGTCCATTACAGCTCAATATAATTGTGACCCAAGAATCATTTTACATGGAAATTGGTGGGAAATTGTGTTGGTTGCATAACTGACTCACACTGCTAGATTGCCATGCTTGTATAAAACGATGAAATACTGAACTTGTGATTTTGTTTTTGAAAGAAAATAACAATTATGAACTGTATCAATTTGCCAAAGGAAAAGGTTGGGCAGCTGACTCACCTCCAGAGTGTATGCTGGGTGGGTTAGCTCACCTCGGTATATAATTCAGGCTAAGGTATCACTATCGTGGGGAGCAGACTGAAAAGTAAAGCCTGTCATTGTTCGTATGATTAATCACAATGTGATTTATTACAGAGGGATGAAAGCAATTGCCCAGCTCTTCCACATGCCTGCACTTGTTCGCAAGACAGCAAGGGACCACCTGGACCCCTAGGACCTCCCGTAAGATGCAATATTTGATTTGCAAAGCTTTACCTGGATAAAATGCAGCACTTTTGAACTCAAAAGCAGATCTTATTTGTAAAATTGTGGCCAGTCTCCTTTTTTGTTAATCCTGTACTCAGTGCACTTAGTAAGATATGCAGGATGATGGGTTTTATTAATCAGGGCGTGGAGTAGAAAACCAAAGAGATTTTGCTAAATCTTAGTAGGTCACTGGTTAGGCTTAGCCTAGAATATTGTGTCCAATTCAGGGCACTGTATTTCAAGAAAGATGTCAGGATCTTGGAGATGGTATAGAGAAAATTTCTGGAATGTTAGTAGGGGTGAGGGATTTCAGTTCTGTGGAGAGACTAGAGAAGCTAGGGTTGTATTTCTTGGTGCAGAAATGGTAAAAGGGAAGATATGATAGAAATGTCGTAAATGGGACTGATGACACTGGGAGTTGCTACTTTCTGGATCTGCAAGAACCCAACATATGACTGGAGGCACTTGCATAAAGTAGGTTGGGATGTCTAAGCATCAAGATGGAAAGAAATGACAATGATCCTTGACTTCCAAAGAAGGAGTGTTAAGAGATCAGCTTGTTGTGTAGTGGATAGAGGATGGGCTGCACTATGTGGACTTAGAGTGGAGGGTGGGGTTGCAGTGAGAATGGTCCGTAACATGGGAGCAGGTAGTTGCATGGATGTCCTCACTGATACCTTTCCACTGACTCTGCAGTTTCCAAGTCTGGCCTCAATCCAGCAGCCACACTGGGATCACAGCCCACACAAGCTACTGCTGCGAATGTGATTGAACTAAAGGAAGGTTTGCAACAATGAAAGGCTGAACAGACTAAGCCTTTACTCTCTAGTCAAAAAATACCTGATCGAGCATTTCAAGATAATTGAAGGGTTTGCTAGACCAGATTTAGAAATGAGATTTCCACATGGGCTAGAGTTTAAATGAAAGGATCGTAGATTTAAGGTGGTCACTAATAAAACCATGGAGAATTCAGGAGTAACTTTTTTCCCCAGAGAGTAGTGAGAATGTGAGACTCTCTAACATAGGGGAATGGTTTAGTGGAATAGCATAGACATATTTAAGAGAAACTCAAGGGAAACTATATCGTAGATCGTGATCTGTGATATTTAAGAGAAGCTTGTTAAATGCAATTGAGGAGTAATAGAGGAAAAATTGATCAGATGAAGGGAGGAGTTTGTGTGGAATATGAACGCAGTTATGGAACTGTTGGGCTAAGTTACTGTTTATGTGCTGTGAGTTGTCAGTGTTATCTTTCTCCTTTCTGAGTATATTTAATGCTGTATTGTATTGTTTTCAACATTATATTGCAAACATTTTTTTTGAAGCACAACGTTTGAATTAGTCGGCGAGCAGTGTTAAGTTACATGCCTTGATGCAGACCAGAGGTCTACAGACAGTAAAAAACATGATAGGAACATATAAAATTGTTGAAGAAGCTACTCATTCCCTATCAGCGAATTGTCAGACAGTAATCCCATCAAGGAGAAATGTGAGCAAAGCTTTGGCAATTTATGTTTGACATTTGGATCCTTTGTGTCTTCACATTTTTTTTATTCAAAATATACTAATGTTTGATGATTTTTGTTTTATGGCATCACATCAGAATTCAAGGAATGTGACTTCTTGTGCAGTCCAACCTGGAAACTTAGGACAAATACCGAGAATTCGAAAGAAACTCAGAGGTCTGGCAGCATCTGAAGAAGAATCATGCCAGATTCGAAACACTAACTCTGTCCCATTCTCCACAGATGCCCCAGCTCTGCTGAGCTTCTCCAGCATTCTCTGTACTTGTGTTCGCTAGGCTGGACCTGATTTGACAAGAGAAGTGAAGGCTAGGAGAGAACAGCCTTTAAAATGAAGGAAGGAAGGCTTTGATAGAGTACAAAATGTTTCCATTTGAGAGATTAGAAGCAATGGTCATCATTATAAGATAATCATGAATCAATCCAGTGAAGAACTCAGGAGAATCAAAGTGAAAAGTGGACTACTACTGTGTTTGAGGTGAATAGTGTAGATGTATTTAAAGGAAGTTAAATAAATACCTGAGAGAGGTATGCTATAGTGTGAAATGAAGACGGCTGGGCAGATGCTCCACAGAGCTTTAGCAACAACATAGACATGTCTGGCAGAAAGATCTGTTGACATTCTGCCACTATTGTGTAATTTGAAAGTAAATATTGATGAGTTTGCCGTGTATTTCCAGTATTTTTTGTTTTTGTTTCAGAAATGCAGCTTTCACAGTTTCTTACAAAGACATGTATGATGTAAGTTTGCTCAGATGTCAATGTGAATGTGTATTTTACAGGGTGGCCCAGGCTTGAGAGGCCCAAGAGGAGTGAAGGGAGAACCAGGTCAAAGGGTAAGAGATCTCTTCATAAATATAACAGAAATACATGAAATTAATGGAGTTCATATTTTTCTCTTTTGAAAAAAATACCCATGTCATCAAAGGAACGGCAAGATTGTTCTACTAAATGGCTGTACTCCATGGGGTAAATATTGTGGTCATATCACAGACTTAGTCAATGCTTCGATGTTTGAGCACCAAACTTTGCAGCAAATTAATTTTAATAACTACTTAATTCTGCATCCAATTCTCTTGTTCATGTTCAGTGCCAAGATTTCAGCGTAACCATATGCACAAGAATGACAGCCTTCATCAATTACTTAACATCAATGGTTCATATAATGTATTTGTGTGTCTCCTTTTATTTTGTGATAGGGACCTGAAGGTCTCCGCGGTGAGATTGGACCGATTGGCCCTCAGGGTCAACCTGGCCCCCAAGGACCAAGTGGACTTTCCATTCAGGGACTTCCGGTGGGTTCATGTTGTTTCTCCATCCAGGAATGGATCGCATAGCAGCAGTTTTGTGAAATCAGCTTGATGTTCACTGAAGGCTTTTGAGGCTTTCCTCGTTAGAACTGATTGGGTGTGAAATTGGTCTTTGGGCAGCAAAGCAGAATAGGCTCATAGCCATTTGGTCTCCTATTGAATCTGGCTACTGGTGAAACTGGCTCATTCTGAGTTGGGTTTCATAGCAAATCAGGCTTAGTTTAAAGACCTTTTGGTCTCTTAGTGAATCGAGCTTACAGCCAATTGGACTTCTAGCTATAATAAAAACTGAAAATCCTGGACAAAGTAAACACTTCTAGCAGCATCTGCGAAGAAAGAAACAGTTAACATTTTGAGTCTGATATGACTGTTCAGTAGAACTTTGGATTCCTTATCAATTGGTTTTGTAGTGAATTGGGATTGAAGCTAATCAAGTTCCAATCAATCAGAGCTGTGGTGAATCACAAGTCCACTTCATTTAATGTGTGATCTTTTAAATGCAGCAAAGAATATTTGGGTTGGTGTAATTTGGAAACTGTTGATTTGACATGACCCTGATCCATACATCAGAGCAATTACGCTCCAGTTTTAATTGTCCTTACAGAGCATTTTATTGTGTTGTGCAGAATTAAATTATACTATCGTAATTGAAATTAAAAATGGTTCTGTGTAAAAATGCAAAATTTCACTGGAAATAAATCATGGAGGAAATACCTACTTATACCATAAATGTGTAATCAAGCTGAAGGTTCATGTCTGAATGGTGTCTTTATTAACCCTGTTAGGGCAGCGCTGGTGAAAAAGGTGAGAAAGGAGATCTTGGTCCCATCGGCCACCAGGTATGAGATTAAGTCATTGATCTTGTCCTATAGCATTTATTTAGTAATGTCCTATAGCATTTATTTATTAATATAAGCTATTTGATTTGTAATACTTCGTGGAGGTATTCCATTTATGTAACTTGCATCACGTTGAAACTTTCTTTCCACATTTTTGGAAAAGATTGATTCTGAACATGTACATTTCTGTGAGAATTTGTTTGATAGGATAAACCAATCGTGTTTGTGTTTGGAGACTGTCTTTTCAGAATCCTGTAGCTGCTGGCACCTGATTTGAATAGGAAATATTTCTGGTCTCATTTTACAGAAGCTGCTGTACTTGTTTCAACAAAAGCTGTTTGCGATTGCTATAATAAAATTATTAAAGGGATAACTGACCAGCAAGTTGGTAAATGTGGTGTAATCTGTTTGTAGTCAATTTTTATGTAACAACTTGCCCTATCCTTCCTTAAAAAAACAGTATCTTGTGCTCTGTACAGTAACAGGACTCCAGTGTCGTGCTAAAGTATGTATCAAAACATGGCTCATGCAGCTAAACATTATTTGTGCCTTCATGTAATATTAAAATAAGCAAGGCACCAGCAAAACAATATCTTATAGTCATCAGAGTTAAAAGGATGTGTCTACAAGTCCCACACCAGAGACATGAGCACAAAATCCAGATGGCCCCTGTGAACGTGCAGGACAGAGGCAGTACTGTCTTTTGGAAGAGCTTATTAAACCAAGGACCTGCCTACTCTCTCAAACTGGTAAATTAAACCTCAAGGCATTAGCTTGAAGAAGACAGGGGATGACTTTTCTTGAGCCTTGGAAAATAATTATACATCAATGAAAAGATGATCTGGTCATTTATCTCTCCTGTTTCTGTGAGCTCGTTGTGTGCAAATTGGCTGTCACGTTTTCTATAATACAAGAGTGACTATTCCTCAAAAGTAGTTAATTGACTGAAAAAAGTATTTGTGATATTCAGAAGTTGTGAAAGGTGCTGTATAAATTCAAGTCCCTTTTATTTTTATAATGTTCTAAGACTCTGTGCACATTTCATCTCAATTACTTTGGAGTTATAGATAGAAAGAGCTCCACATTCACATTTTGTTTTAAAAGTTATGATTGCGATCTTTATCTTCTCAATGGGACAGAAGGAAGTAATGCAGCCATATGCATGGTGTCCATTTCAAAACCAAGTGTCAGCTCCAGGGTAAGGGAGAGAAATCATGGGCCTTAGTGCTTTGCTCATCTTTGGGCCCCTTATTCTCTCTCTCCCCATCTTCACTTTGACCCTCCCCCTCACATTCTTCAAGTGCCCAGATTTGGGAACCATACTCACAGTGGTGTAGAATTGATTTATTAAAGTTTAGCAAATATTTTTGCTTTTGTACTCTCTGAAACCTACTCAACCTCTCCTCATAGGGAATCTCTCTATACCAGGTATCAGACTAATGAACTTTCTCTGGAGAGCCTCCATTGTCAGTGTATCCTTCCTTAAATAAGAGGACTGAAACTGTTCACAGCATTCCAGCTGTGGTCTGACCAGTACTTTGTATAGTTTAGCAGGACATCTCCTTTCATATTCCATTCCTTTTGAAATAAAGGCCAACATTCCATTTACCTTCCCTATTACCCACTAAACCTGGAAGCTAGCTTTTCATGATTCATACACAAGGGCTCCCAAATCCTTCTATTCTGTGGCTTTCTGCAGACTTTCGCCATTTAAATTCAGCTCTTCTATTGTTCCTGTCAAAGTGTATCGCCTTACACTGCCGCATATTAAATTACATATGCTAAATTTTTGCCCACTCACTTAACCTCGCTATATCCCTCTGTAGACACAGGGGTGAGATAAGGAAGGAGCCATCAGTCTTTGGATACCATCAAAAAGGAAGGCATCAGGGCATGTAGGAGGTATAGTTTCGAGAAGCAGGGCAGGAGATGGTGGCGGGTCGGTGGTGCGGATGTGGTGAGGATTGGTGAACAAAGTTAAGGACTCAACTGCTATAATGGGATACCCTTAAGAGGATTGGAGCAGGCTGGGATGTTGTGTCCAAACAGGCCAGGTCTCCCACTGTAGAGGAGATCACGTTGTGAGCAGCGAATACAGTAGACTAGTTTGAGTGAATTGCAGGTAAAGCACCTGGAAGGTGTGTCTGGGGCCTTGAATGCTGAGGGAGGAGGTAAACGGGCAGGTGTTGGGAGTGGAGGAGGAGTGAACCACGGTGTCGCAAAGGAAACAGTCCCTGCGCGAGGCTGACAAAGGAGTGGAGAGGAATATGTGTCTTCTGGTGGCATTCTGCTAGAAGTAGCAGAAATAATGGCTAATGATCCTCTGGACGTGGAAGCTGGTGGGATGGTAGGTGAGGACAAGGGGGACTCTATCACTGTTGCAGGACAGAATAGAGGGGTTGAGGACTGAAGTGTAGGAGATCAGTTGACATAACTGAGGGCCTTCTCAGCCATGGTGCTGGGGATTCCTTGGTTGAGGAAGAAGGTGGACATTTCACAGGCCCACTTGTAGAAAAACAGATGCGATGGAGATGGAGGAGTTGGGAGAATGGAATAGAGTCTTTGTAGGAAGCAGGGTGTGAGGATGTATAGTCAAAGGAACTGTGGGAGTCGATGCATTTGTATTGGATACTGGTGGCCAACCTATCCCTAGAAATGGAAACAGATGTCAAGGAAGGGAAAGGAGCAGTCAGGGATGAACTAGGTGGAGGTAAAAGCAGGGTGGAAATTGGAAATGAAAGTGATATATTTTTCCAATTCTGGATGAGAGAGTGAGGCAGCACCGATGATGTCTTTGATGTATTGGAGAAAGACTTGTGGGTGGGGGCCCAAGGAGGACTGGAACTAGGAATGTTCCACCTAGCACACAAACAGACAAGCATAACTGGCGGCCATGTGGGTACAGTGGGACCCATGCAGGCACACTGGGCGTCCATACGGGTACTCAGCTGCTTCACAAAGGTGATGCAAAAACATGCCAACTGGAACTTGGATTGAGAATTTCCAAATCAGTTGCTAATAAAGCCCTTACAGCCAGCAAGAGCAGAGGCCTTCTGTCCCAATATAAAGGCTGGATTGAACATGAATGCCAGATATTCCAGTATGCCCTGGAGAAAGAAAGAAAACTTATTTTTATATAGCGCCTTTTAGGATCACAGGACACCCCAGTGGGTTTTAGAGCCAACAAATGGTTACTGTTGTAATATAGAAAACATGACAGCCAGTTTCCACACAGCAAGGTCCAACAAACAGCAAACTGATAAAAACCTGACTCTCTGATTTTTTTTATTCCCTGTATTGAATCATATAATGGTTTCAATGTAGGTGAAGCCAATCAGCTTCTTGTGTCCGTGCTGGCTGTCTGCAAAACCAAATCACCGCGTCTCATTCCTCTATCTTTTCCCTATGTTTTTCATCCTTCACAGGGTCTGGGAATGTCAGTCTAGGTTCTTTACTCATGTCTAGGAGCAGGACTCGATCCCACAACCTTCTAAGTTAGACACAAGCAATCGGCAACATCATCTAATTGTTTGTCTTTCTCACATGCCAGGGGATGCCGGGAGGGCAAGGGAGACCAGGACGTGATGGTTCACCAGGTCAAAGGGTAAGACTAAGGAAGCAGACTTGGTGTTCTTCCCAGATAATACATGTCACTATACGTTACCAAGTCAACATTGTAGTCCTTGTGAGGTTTGAGTAATGAAATGGATACGTGATCCTGTTTGCTGGTCGATCATTGTAGGAATGTCTTACAAGAACCCTTAACCCAGAAAGCTTTGGAAACAATGGAGGTGAATTTATAGCCTCGAACTTTGGGAGGCAATGCAAGCCAATTTTTAATAGGGAATGAATGGGAAAGGAAGTCAGGTTTTGGGAGGTATCTGTTGCTAATCGTGCTGCCACAAGGGTAAATTTCACCCTGTACAGTTTTGAATTGAACTTGTTACCATTGGTTACCTTTCAAGTTTTAATATGACATTTATGCGTGTAATATTCAGATACAATATTAGTTTGTCAACTGATTTTGGACAGCCATTCCAATCAGATAGAGTTTTAGAACATTTTAATGGCTCTGTACATATGTCGGTATCCTTGAAATATCATTACATAGCACCTTATCACAATTGTTTTAAGAAATAGAAAGTAACTAATGATGATTATTTTTAAATGAATAAGCTCAGCAGTAGTGTTTTTCACACCTATGTATACACATATTCTCAGGATGTGCATGGGGGTGTGCCAAAATCAGTAGCCTTCCCCTTCCCTCAGTATGTAGCAAAAAATAAGGGTCAATTGAGTTGGTTAAACGCTCAGTTCACTGAGATATAACCCTTTCTACAGTATAATACAGTTGGCACGAGCAATTTTTAAGCAAGATGGAAGAAGTCGTGCTGTAGTTGGAGGGTTCCCACTTCCCAAGCATGCCAACTCCCTATGAAGACAGTACCTCCCTTCTTTTGTAACTTAGTCATCTTCAAAACCTAACGAACTCCCCCTCTCCAAAGTGGGCAAATCCTCCAAGGCTAATGCCCCCTAAATACCTGGGTCCAGGTTTCCTTTGACCCCCCTTCATTGGAGCTACCTGTGTTCCCAGCGTCACCCAGCGTCACGGTGAGCTCTAGATTGGCTGACTTCTCCAGAGGGAGAGGCAGAAATCCAACTCGCTAGTACTTCCTCACCTCCACAGCACGTTATAGCTGCAGGGCAGGTTTCTTTCTGGTGCCTGAATTTGCTGTGGATTTTTCTTCCATGGTGTGGAAGCAAAGAGCCTGCTCCTACCCAGCAACTCCAAGCCCCACCCATCCATCTCTGTCATATTCTGTGCATTTGTGTGGCATTCAGTCTTTAAAAAATGACCCCAATTGGAACTGTTGAGAAAGCAATGGACTCATCAGGAGGCTGTTAACTTTTGTCTGACTTGTTTTCAAATCATATAAACTTTAAAAAATTCAATGCAATTCATATTTTTCAGTAATGTTACATGATAAGGACCATTGGGTCTAATGCTAAGGTATTTCTTTAAGATTTTAATTCACTGTACACTGCCCTCAAAGAACAGATGATTAAGCCAGTCACTGATAGAAAGACATCTCAAACAATTAAAGAGGCCTTGCACCAGTTAAAACTCACTCTGAACTCCATGGCTACCATTGCTGCCTCAGAGCTAGTGACGCCAAATTCCTATTGGGGCTGTGACCCACTGTTCGGGAGCTCCTAAGTTCTCGCCTCTATATTTCCAGTAGAATATTTGAACTCAAACAATGCTGCAGTCATCCAGGGAATCACTTTGAAATCAGTAGAGATGTACGTTGGGAAGGGTGTCTGATCTAATATTGTCTATTTTATAGTATCAGCAAAACTTAAAATCTGTCTGTTCCCCTCCTTCACCCTACCCCATACCACCCCTCTATGTATTCTCAACAACTTGCATTTATATCAATGTAATAATACAGTCCAAAGAGCTTCACAGACATGTTGTCAAACAAAATTTGAAACTGTGTCACTTTAGGACTGTTTGGTCAAACATAAGGTTTACGAGCAGTGTCCTGAAGAAAGAAAGCCAAAATGATTTAGAGAGGCAATTCCAGCATATGGAGCTACAAATGGTGGAGTGATAAACTCAAGATTGCTGAAGTGCCAGAATTGAGGGGCGCAGAGATCTTGCAGGATTACTGGGTTGCTTCTGATTATGAGGCAGGAGGATGGCAAGACCATTGGAATACCTGGATAAGAATTTTAAAATCAAAACATTCTTAACAAGAGCCATTGCAGGTCAGCAATATTCCTGATATAAAAAAAATCAATGAATCCATTCGCAACTCTAGCTGAATAAGAATACTTGGTAATTATGGATCATGATGGAGAAAGAAAATCATTCTAGTGATGATTCATGATATACAGCAGTTAGAAATGTTGCAGAAGATATTGCAAAAGAAGACTTTGGAAGAAAGGCGTTTTTAGGAATTTCCTCTCCCGAGTGGAAATTCATGCACTGGGAATGTTGGGAACTATGGATTATTGTTCAGATTGTACAATATTTTACCTATTAAAGTTGATAGATTACTGAGGTCCCCTAACCATGCAATTAAGTTCCTGATATGAATACAAATCCCACTTCCCATTCCAGAGACTTGGGCAGAGAATCCCAGTTGATCCTGTTAAGTTCCAGGTGGAATGCTGCACTGGAGGAGGTACCATCTCTTGTATAGGGAGTTAAAACAGACATGTGTGTTGTCTTGGGTGAACAAAAAGATCCCTTGGAACTAGTTGAAAGAAGTGCAGTGGTAGGGGCTGCCTTTGTGTCCTGGTCAACATTTATCCTTTGACCAAAGTCACGGCAGAAAAAAAGCAGTTAATCTGGACAGTACCCCATTAGTGTTTGTGGTATCTTGTTCTGCACTAAATTTAGCTTCAGTGGTTCCTCTGTTTACAGCTGTACAGCTCCATTTACAGCTGTGACTACACTTCAAAAAGTGCATTAGGGCATTCAACTGTGCTATATAAATGTAATTTGTCATCTGGAGAAGAATTTTTACCTGGAACTTAAGTGAACGGGTTGTGACCAGGAACATGTGTGTGTGCAGAAATACATATTTTCAAACAATAACAAAAAAATCTCTCTTGCTTGAATCAGTAAATAATCTATGAAATCAACTTTTGATCCAGGGTCCTGTTGGTAAAGATGGTCCTATAGGATTACCAGGGCCAGCGGGGCCTGTGGTAAGTACATTTGCATGCTGCCCTGTACAGTGGCAAGATTTTGGTGTTTAACAATGTCGATTTTTCAGGGTCGAAGAGGTACGGACGGTCCACTTGGACCACCTGGGTTTCCAGGTAGGAGGGTAAGTTATTTTTTATGTGCATAGTGAAGGAATGTTGACAGAAAGTCCCAGGAACCTCATGCACCATTTTCATTCTACATATCAGGCAGCATGCTCCCCAACCTCATTGTGTACAGGCATTATGTAATTCAGGCTGCTAATTTATAACCGTGTTTGTCACTTAAAAATTGAGCTTTTATTTTGAATAGCCACATGCATTCTTTCACCCAGAAACACAGCTTTCATTAAAGTGGAAGAAAATTCCTTGACTTATTTTTTGCCAGAATGCTTTCTGCTTGTAGCTGCAGATTTTTTTTGGATTACGCAGCGTCAAAGTATTTTTTTCTGCTGTAGACAGATGCACAAGACAAACACGAACCCAAAACAAAGCTCATTCAGGCTAACTGGTCTACAAAACTATTCTTCTTTGTTGCCCACTCCCATTACTCTTTCCATATTGACCCCTTTGGCGACTATTTCATATGCTCACTGTAAATCCATGTGTTTTCCCTGTCCTTGAGCCTGTGCTATACTTATGCCATTCATTTGTACTTGTGCTAGATGGCTGCAGAAATTCAAGGAGGTAGATTAATAGGATCTATGCAGTGCAGAAAGAGGCAGTTCAGCCCATCAAGTCTGCATCAACCTTCCGAAGAGCTACCCACCCTGACCCCCACCCTAGCCCCATAATCCTGCATTTACCATGGCTAACCCACCTAGCTTACACATCCCTGAACACTATGGGCAATTTAGCATGGCAAATCCACCTAACCTGCACATCTTTGGACAGTGGGAGGAAACCAGAGCACCCAGTGGAAACCCATGCAGACATGGGGAGAATGTGCAAACTCTACACAAGGCTAGGATCAAACCTGGGCCCCTAATGCTGTAAGGCAGTAGTGCTAACCACTGAGACACTGTGTTGGTGGCTCAACACCATCCTTTTAAAAGTAATTGGGGATGGGCAGCAAATGTTGGCATTAACAATGGTGTCTACATGCCCAGAAAAGATAAAATTTAAAATTACCAGTTACACAGGTTTGACAAGGTAAGTGCGGAGAGGCTGTTTCTTTTGGCTACAGAGAACTAGGGGTCACAGTTTCAAGTTTAGGGTGGGACCATTTAGGACATTGAAAAGAAAAATCATCTTCTATAAGCCTCTAATGCCTGCTTTGTCGTTCAGCAAATCTCTGGAATTTTATGCCCCTGAAAGCTGTGAATTCCCAGTCTTTAAGTATGTTTAAGACGATATCTATAGATTTTTGGATCCAGAAGTATTCGTGGGATATTGGGATAATACGAGAATGTGATTTTGAGGCCAAAGATCAGCCAAGATTTTATTGAATGACAGAGTAGGTTCAGAGGCTGAGTGGCCAGCTCCTGTCATTACTAGGTTCTTTACATTACCCCTCTTTTTTTAATATGTGAATTTACACTCTCAGTATAGAGTGCATGTTAAAAGATTTTACATGCCAGCAAGACATGCTTCAAACCATGGCACTGCATTTGTGTCACATTAATTTCAGACCCAAAGTCTTTGAACTTAACCCTTGTGGGGGAGGTGGGGTGCAGTATAATTTCTGTGCCAATATCAGATTATAGTCGTGGCATAGATTAATGTACATTAATACACAAAACTACAACATTTACATTAATACTACTTTGCTGATGTTATACAAAATAGTTACAGGGATACTTTACATAAAAATTAGGGGCTGGACTAGGGTCATTCACCCTCATGAGCCTGATCCACTGTTCAGCAAGATCATGGCTGATCTTCTAGCACAACTCCCACTGTCCCAATATTCCTTAGTTCCTTTTGTACCAACCTGGATCTTGAACGTACACAGTGTCTGAGCATCCAAAACTCTCAGGGTTGCGGGGAGGGTAGAGAATTTCAAAGATTCACAGCCCTTTAAATGAAGAAATTTCTGTTCATCTCAGTGCTAAATAATTAACCCCTTTATTCTAAGACTGTAACCCCATGTTGTAGATTTCTCAGAATCATTTATTTCAGCAATTAACCTGTCAAGCCTGAGATATCATCTTATTCCTCCAAACTGCAGGTTTGATTAATTCTAGTCTGATTAATTTCTCTTCATAAAACAAGCCCGTCATCACAGGAAACAATCTAATGATTCTTTATCATACTCCCTTTAGAGTAAAAAGCCCCTTCTTAGATAAGGAGACCAAAGCTACACAAAATATTTCACTGTGGCCTCATCGATGCCCATCATCATTCTTCCCACTTTTGCCTTTACCGATCCAAAGAATTTTAGAAAATTGAAATTAATTCCCTCCCAGCACCATCCGCCCCGTATTCTGAGATGTATAATCATGTGACCTTAGCAACTTTTCTTTTTTTTCTCTAGTACGTTCTTATTCAAATATTTATCAGAATGTTCACCTCTGTGGCACCTGCCAAAGGGAATCTTTTGACTGTCACTTACACTTTTTTCTAAAATTAAATTATTTACTGTAAATGGGCCTTTATCCCTGTTCACCAGTGTGAATCTAAAAGTAGCAACGCCTGGTTGCAAAAGTAGCATGTAGACCTGATTAACATGTTTGTCTGCAAACTGCCTTTTTGGATAAAAATTGGACTCACTTCCCAGATTAGCAATTCGCTGAACTGTTACACAAAGACTTCCTGGAGCAAGTGTAGAAAATTATTTAGAAATTATGTTGAAAAATAATCATCTTATTGTAACATTTTATCAATCACTTGACCAAAACAGTGAGACAAGTGATTATTAAAAGTAGATAGCATCTTACTTTACAAAGTAATATGTTGAGGTCACTGGAGACCCTGTCACTGACTTTAAATGCAGGAATTTTGAATGCTTAATGTTATTTGCCATCATTAAACCTGCTTGCCATTGCTGCCAGTGACTGCATGAACTTGCATTTCACCAGAAGCTTCCTAATGATATTGTTTACATTAACCACTGAGCGGGAAATACTGATCATCTTAGTGCCTTGCATATCTGAATTCTTCCTTTCCCAGGTACTAGTGAAGGGACATAAAGTTGGGGGTTGTGATGTCTTACTGAAACCTGGCTCCACATTAGACTATATCACACAAAGTCTAAATAAACCTCGCCAAGAAAATCTAGGTTCCGTGCAACTTTCATCTGTCACTTGCTACATCGTAGGAGCATAATATTGCTGTACCTCATGCCCTTCCTAAAGTTCCTGGATTTAAGGAATTGCCCTTTGGAGAGTGCAGCTGTGATTTGGTCTCCCCTGTTTCACAGCTGCAGTGTAGTACAGGTTTCCTTACTCAGTGTTGGGGTGCTGATGAAAGCTAAATACCACGTCACATCCTAAATAAGGAGCAGAAGTAAAGAGGTCTCCCAAAGGAAAGACGGAGAAGGGTCATAGGAAATGTAGGAAATGGTTTAATATGCTTGTTCAGCCTGGCGCCTTGCTCAAGTTGGCTATATGTAAGTATGTGAATGAGTTGATTTCTTCATTTCCTCATAATTTTCATATTGTATAATGACAAACTATGGAGGATCTCTGAAGGAACTCATCGGGGCTTGACATGATAATCTCTTAATCATAGCAAACAGTCCAAACTGCACATTGTGCAGATCTATTGGGCCTTGTTATACTTAGCTACCATTAAAATGTTTGTACTTTTAGCCTGGATACTAGATATATGAGAATAAAGCGCACATAATGACAGTAGGCATAAGGGGAAAATTTTGAGCATTATGCCAATTCTAAAGTATATATGGCTTACATATTTTATTTTAATATTCCTGGTGCCTGTCAGTTGGTTTACAATTTTACTTTTCTGTTTTGCTTTGTCTTAACATCACTGATTCTGATTTTGTATTTATTTAAAACTAATTTTACAAATTCGTAGAATGAGATAGCTCAGAAGCAGTTCATTCAGTCCATCACGCCCCAGCTGCCTCTTTGAAAGAGCTATCCAAATAGTTTGATGCTTCTGCTTTTTCTGCCTTAACCCTCCAAATTTCTCCACTTTAAGTATTTACCCAAATCCGTCTTGAGAATTGCTGTTAAATTCAGGCAGTAAAACATTTCAAAGAGCAAAGAACTCTTTGGGATAGAGAAGGTTTTTTTTTGGCCCATTGAGTCCATGCTAGCTCTCTAAAAAGCAATCCATTTGGTCCCATTTCCCCATACTATCCCCATAGCCCTGTACACTTATTTCCCTCAAGTGCCCATCCAATTTCTTTTGCAGTCGTTCATCATCTCCACATACACAGAATATTTTAAAAATGAATACTCACATATTTACTGAAAAGTCACTTGGAAGCTAATTGTAATGTAAACACTTTCAAGCCTTCAGGAGAATCTTGACTGAACTTTAATACCCAGAATATTAACCTACCTGCACCCTGTAAAAGCATTTACTGACCTGCATATTTGCAGCATTTACTAGTATTGCAGGTTTATTTCATCCTTTATTTAAAAATGTAGGTATCACTTAAAGGAGCTATTGCACTGTAAACTTTTAGTAGACACTTTGGAATCCTCTTAAATCACTTGTGCCAGGTCAAGTTGCAGTTAATAATATGGATTAGTTTTAAGTTCCAGTGACTGGCAATGACTGCGGACAACTGCCTCTGAAGGCTTAATTGCCAACTTGATGCAGTCAAAATCATAATCTGTTCCCTCAGTATATGTGTTTACATAATCATCAGGATCATCTACAATATCAGTCAATCTACCAGCCAAAGATGCCTCAAAAGAGATAACAGATGTATCCTTCAGCTTGGCTAGCATTTTCGTCTGCTTTCTCATGAAGTAGCTAATTCAAAATGGAAATATTTACTCAGGTGATGTCTTTTCCAAATGAGAGACCCAATACATTTTATTCTTTTGAATCATGGCTACATGAAAATAGACAATATTCAAATTGAATTTTATCTGGAGTCTGAGTTAATTTAACTTTAATAAAGCACAGACTCCAAATATTGTAATCGATAAAAGAAAATCACACTTGTTTTTAATTGGAAGGAGAAGCTTCAATTATTGATTTATTTATAGACTTTATAAAGTGAAGGGTGTGAAGGCATTGCACAAAATTAGTGAAATGGTTCCAGAGATAGGGAACAATGGTTCTGTGGATGGAGAAGCTGGGGATGTTCTCTTTTAAGAAGAGAAGGTTGATAGGAGATTTGATAGAATTGCTCAAAATCATGAGGGGTCTGAATGCAAGAGACTGGGGTAAATAATTGCTCCCGTTGGTGGAAGGGTGAGAAGCAGAGGATACCAATTTATAGTAATTGTCAAAAGAGCCAGAAGTAAAATGAGGAAAACAATTTTACCCAGCAAGTAGTTAGTGAAATAACTCCACAAAGGCTGGTATCCTGTTACTAAGTCACCCTCTATTTACACATGCATAGTACATGACATGGACCCAGCTAGCACAGAGCTGGCTCCAAGAGTGGGCAGAATTCCTGATACTCCTGTTTATATCTGTCAGCCAGGACTCCCTGATTGAACCAGGTTAACAGCTCCAGTCAGGGAACTCATATTCTATGGCTGACCTCATTCCAGTCACTACAATTAGGATGTGGAATGCATGGCTTGATGGCATGGTGGAGGCAGGTTCAACATTAGGACAAGATGAGTTGCTCCCATAGAGAGCAGGCTGGGGCAGAGTGGACTGAATTACCTTCTTTTGTGTTGTGACCATTGTATACTCTAACTAATGCAAAACAAAACTTCCTAACTCTTTAGGAAAATCAGTGATTTTAGCTTAAAGCAATATCCATAAAATTACTTGTATTTTTGGTGCTCAGTCTATTTTTTCCAGTCATAGTAAAGATCCAGAGTGTTGATGTTTTGACCAATTAAAACTTAAAACTGCATTGTTTACTTGGAAACTGGCTCAGAGTATTTAAATGAGATCCTCCATGTTTAATAACCTCCTTTGCATGTTTTCATTTGATTATTTAATATGAGCATGTTCAATGAATCATTTATCATCAGCATTTAAATAGTTCATGTCTCTCTGTGATGTACCTTGTTATTTGCTTGCAATATAATTGACTGACTGCAGATCAGTGATCTCTTGCTTTGCAATTTGAAACTCTTTTTTCCAGCAATAGAAAACAAACAAGAGTGACATGTTGCCAAAGCTCATCATCTTGAACTTATCAGGACAAATACTAGAATGCCAAATTTTAACAGTAACAACAGTTTATGTTATGCGTAAACATGCTGATTTGTTGGTTAACATGTTGACTCTGATCACCCGAGCACTGTCATGACTCCCTGTTGCAATGTCTCAGCCAATCAGTATCCCTTCCTGCTGTTGTATAAATTATTGTGATTGTTTGTTTGAAATTTGGCATTCTTGCATTTTTCCTCACGAGTGCAGGATGAAAAGCCTCAGCAACGTATCCCTCTTTAAATGTCCTCTACCCACCCAATCTGTTTTGCTAAAGAATGACTGAGTCATGAGCTACCCAGTTAGAAACAGCTGTTATAAACATTAAATATTTGTCTCTTCATTTCCTTGACAACTATCACATTTACTCAGTATTCTGTCATCACGATAAAATACAACAGGTTTTAAAAGCCCCAGTGAGCATGAAGTATAGTTATTGTTTGAGGAACCATCTGGAGATTCCATTACTGTTATCCTTATCAAAATTATTTATCTTGGTATACTTGTTGAAGTAGACAACAAGCATCAGTTAAATTACCAATTATTAAAAGATGTGTGTTGGCTTTAACTAAATGTAATCGACTCTATTTGTCTAATTATAACACCCACTTCACAACTACCAATGTATCTACATAAAATACAGTTCTCTTCATTTATAAAGGTCATACTCTGCCTCATCACTTGGCAATTAGAAATTGTATTATAAGAATGCATTTATGACTTAAAAACAAATATTAATTTAAACTTATAAGCATAAATCTTCTGACTTAATGTTGTTTTGTGGAATATTTACACATTTCCATGTAATGAAACATTTTACACTTTCTGAAGAGCATCATATCATTTAAATGAAAAACGATAATTAAGTATAAGTGAAATTTTTGACAGAGTTCACTATGAAAGCCCAGGCTCTCCACACTATTATTGTTTTTACACAGTTATATCCTCATTCCCTTTTCCCTATGATTCGCCCAGTGTTTGTATTCACTAAACCTTCCTGAGTCAAGTTGTTTAAGTGTCTTATGCGTCTTATCTATGTTAGGAGTTTAACTTGTCATTCAATGGTTTCACAGGGAACTCCAGGTGTCCCAGGCCCTCCCGGAGCTACAGGCAACACAGGGTCCCAGGGCAGCATAGGATCTCCTGTAAGTCAAGCAGTAACAGACTGTACTTTGTGAAATGACAAATAATTGTTTAATTGCAACTAGACAGAAAAAGAGCCCAAAAGTCATAGCTAATTGATGACAAAAATATTCTTTCTCCACTTTAACTGGAAATATGCCTCTAATTTCAGACCAGTATTTGAATATTGAACATGGCAAAACATTTGTAATTGTCAAGTATTGATTGTAGCAGTTGAGCCATAGATATTCTGTTTGATTTAGAATTGATGTTTATTTCCAAAAAGATGTATTCTTCATAAAATTTATAGAAGCACATTACATAACAGTTCAAAGTTGACATCAAATAATGTGAATACTGATCAGTTCCTTTCAATGCAACACATACCACTCAGAGGTGCTCCACTACACTTAGAGTGTAAGATATACTTATAATATTTCCAATCCTAATAGATTTAAACACAATCCACTCCCCTTCATATGTATACTGCGCTTGAGATTCCTGGATTGTAGTCCTCTGTTTTAAACCTTTTCAGGAATCCATAGTGAAGATGTTTGTAGAAACTATTCCCTCTATTGCAGCACTGAGTGCCATGTACTGTAGTTTCAATGTCCAGCAGACACCTGAACAGCTATTGTGAAAGGGTAACTATATAAGGTAAGTGATGTGGTAGGATGGGGCTGGTGTTAGGGTGCCAGGTAAGTGGATGAGTGTTTAGGGTAGGCCATGGTAGGAGTTAGAGTTGGGTCAGATCTGGGAGGAATGTAATGTCGGGTCGAGTTGGGGGTTAGGATGAGGAAGGGTCTGCTGTTGAGCCTGGCAAGGGGTTTGTCTGGGTTGGGGAGGTGGGGGATGAGTTGAATTGGATGGCTGTGGGGTTGAAGTAGGAGTACTGAATTGGGTGTTTCAATTTAATAGCTGCCCCAGAGTTGGAGTAGGTTTTTAAGCTAAGGTTTTGGAGTAGATCTGTAGCTTGGGTTGTGGGTGTAGAAGTTGGTTGGCTCGCCGAACTGGTTTGTTGTTCTGCAGACGTTTCGTTACTGTGCTTGGTAACATCCTCAATGCAGCCTCTGATGAAGCGTCGGTGTGTTTTCCCGCCTGGTTTTTAAACTCTGGGGTCCGTTGTGATGGATTGCCTCACTCTCGGTTTCCTCCGTAGTGGAATGTATATGGGGTCGAGTTCAATCTGTTTATTAATAGCCTGCTTCATGGAGTGCCATGCTTCCAGGAATTCTCGTGCTTGTCTCTGCCTAGCCTGTCCCAGGATCTTGGTGTTGTCCCAGTCGAAGTCGTGGTTCTCCTTGTCCATGTGGATTGAGATGAGTGAGTATTGGTCGTGTCTTTTTGTAGCCAGTTGGTGTTCATGTACTCTTGTTGTTAGTTTCCTTCCTGTTTGTTTGATGTAGTGTTTCTCGCAGTCTCTGCAGGGGATCTTGTAGATGACATTGGTCCTGCCCATGGTGGGGTGTGGCTCTTTAGTTCAGGTGAGCACTTGTCGCAGGGTTGATGTGGGCTTGTGTGCCACTCTGATGCGCAGCGGTCGTAGAAGTCTTGTGGTGAGTTCTGACGTGTTCCTGATGTAGGGTAGTGTGATGAGTGTGTTGGGGCGTGTAGAATCTTTCTGATGCTGTTCCTGTAGGCATTTCCTGACCCAGTTCTTTGGATATCCATTATCCTTGAACACTTGGAAGATGTTTTTAAGCCCTCAGTTTTTTGCCAAGATAACCTGTAAGGTTAAGTGAGTTCTTAGACTTCAATGAATGTTAATGCAGGGTTCTAAATGCAAGGGAATTGTCCATCAGAATTTTCAATTTCCACACAGTCAGCTGCACCAGGGATTCCACCTGGTCCCAATGCATGCCTTGCCTATGCAGCTCCAATGACTATCTGGCCATTGGAATATGTGGACCATTCATTTAATGTCAAACACATAGCCCAGGGGATTTTGCATGGGTTCCAGCAGGTCTTTCCCCATTGTGTCTTTATTGCATCCTTCAGCTACTAGTCCTTGAGATGGGACTATACTAGTCTGAAACACTTGGTTGGGGACAAATCTTTGCACTGAAAGACCAGAAAATCAACAGCAAACTTTGTAGTTTAGTACAAGGAGGTGCTTCTAGATTCTGTTCCTTTTGACAATTTATCCACATTTAATTTGATGTGGACATGATGTAAAAGCAGATCTTTGTTTGGTGGAAACCATAATTAGGGCAGGTTTGATCTGATTGTGCTGATAATAGTGTTAGATGCCAACTCAAGATGCATTCCTGAAATGTTTGTCAAATGACCTCCAGCTTACAACTGCCCCACCCAACACTGCCACCATTGGTCATTCATTCATTCTCACAGAGACCTACCTTCCCACAGCCACTCAGAAAGCAAAGAGCTTCTTCATTATCCAATTGGATGGCACTTGACTCTCAGTCTAAACTGTTCTCACTCCTCCATCGCCAACATTTCTAGAACAGATTAAGTGGAAGTGTTTGAAGAAAACTGGAGTTGAACACCTGATGCTTGCTTGCTTTTTGCCTGACTTGCTTGCAGCAGTATCCAGGAGATTAACCTTCAATCCCTGGGGTCTTCAGGACAATACTGGAGGCTTAGCAACCCCTAATTCTGAGGTTTGAACACATAATAAGCTGTGTCAAAGGAGTATTCCTGAAGCTGCTTCCCCTGTGATTGAAGAAACATCTCCATGGAAATTTCCAGGCCATAACTGATATGATTTTGAATTTAAAGGCATAATGTTCCATCTGGAGACTTTGGAATGACAGGCAGGGTATCTTGATTGGATGAGAGGCAAACATTAAATAAAGTTTTGCAACTAAGTTCTCTCAAACTTCAGGTGGGTCAGTTTTCCCAACACCTATGGTCAGCAAATTGTTTTGCATTCATTAGTGTACCATGAATACCAATTAACGCCCCAGCCCCCTGGAATTATATGTCCCTCTGCAATCTTGTGGGGCAAAATGGGAAATATGTGTGTTCACAAACCTGACTATGTGAGGCGTGGGGTAGACTTCTCCAAACTCTAGTAAGTATGAATAACCAAGTTGTTTCTTTGCACAAGCACTTCCAGTTTCCCAAGGGGTGAATCCTGACTGGGCCATAAAAAGCATGCCCATGTGAGACAACCACACTGTCTGACACCAGCAAATATGACTGGGGCAGGCAAGCAGAGCTAAACTCAAAAGGGGGCTCAATGCAAAAGTCCATCTTGGTGCATGAGTCCCTGTTGTGTGTAAGCCTTTGGCGAAAAACTGTCAGATGTGTAGGTCCTCCCACCAGTGTTGCAAGGTCATTGAGCTGAAGGTGTGTGAGCTGCTGAGTATTTTAGCTCCTTTTATGCTTTAAGTGTGAACCTTGGCAGATGTGTGAGGCAGTATCAGTAGCTGCAATAGAGTGACAGACATCTATTGTGTATGAGATATCTGATGGAGATGCCTGGCAGCCACCTCCTGTATGACAGTCCTGTGCACTGGCAGTCTTATAACATCAACTCACCAGCATAGGAGCATGAAGCATTGAGTTAGTGGTATCCTGTAGATCGCAGAACATCTGCACTCTCTTGCTGCACTGGAGCCAGATTCTCTAGAGCTGCCCACAGACCCTGCTCTCCGCATACAGGCTGCTTCCATCAGTCAGGATGGCTTCTTGTTGCCAACAATAGGGAAAAGAACTTCTGTCCTTAATAGCCTTCAAGAGAACCTCGAGGTCATTAAAGCATGTTAGCCCTTTTTGTGTGAGGTCTCTGATGTTTCCTGGTGGGGGTGGCAAATAGAGGTTGACTGATGCAGAGTGGGATTGGGGGAGAGAGAGTGACAGACAGAGTATGTGTGTGTGTGTGTCTGTGTGTGTGTGTGTGTGTGTGTGTGAGAGAGAGCGAGAGAAAGAGAGAAAGAGAGAGAAAGAATTTGTGTGTGTGTGTGTGGTCATCGGTGTGATTCTAGACACTGCCATGTCGACAGTGTCGGGGATGCACAGGGTCACTACCCCTGGCTGTCTCCTGGTGCTGGTCCCGCCTACCATTCACGGTCACACCATTACAATTCATCAGATGAAGAAAAACCCGTGAGCGACACTGAAGTTTTGATTGACAGATGTGGAAAAAGACACCAAGAAAGTATTTAAAAGCATATTGGCCAATCTGAAAACAGCAGCTAATGTTCACATCGCTAGATTTGTTCCAGTTTGACAGTGGACAGAATCCTGAGGCACATACAGACTGAAAAAAAAGGGCTCATCATTGCCCCAACAACAGTGGTCTCTGCTTTCAGCCTCCCTTGAGGACAGCGGGCTCTGCTTAACAAAATCTGCACAGGACACTGACTTACTCCATATGTGGATGATCCAATGTTCACTTGAGACCATTAGTGTCAGACCATGGAAAACATCACATTGACCTGCCCAATAGGGTTTATTACAGGATGCACCTTATTTCTCACTCAGCATTTCAGGAGGCCATTCAATGAATAGTCAAACTACGTCCCAATATAAACTTTCCAAGTCAAATGAAAGTAGCAAAACTGGGCAATGAACAAGTTACTGGTATGTTTTGTTCCCTATTCAAAGGGCAATGAATGTACATCTAAATCATGTGCAGTGCAGACACTGCAAAAACTAAATGACACAGCAATTCCTCTGTTTATTATGTTTAACAAAAAACGTGACATTTCTTGAATTTCCAGGCTTCTCAATAGTCCCTGACAACTCTTCACAAGTTTATTGTCTCTGTTAATTGGACTGTTGTCTCCAGCAAACTTTTCAAACCATTCAGAGATGACATCTATTCAATTCAAACACTGAAGTGACTTTTCCAGACCACAAAGGCAGCGATTTCTTACTTCTTGTGGGGGGATTCAGCAAAAAGGTTTCTCAGCAAGTATAAATATATTTGGAATGGTTACCTTTCTTTAGTGGTTGGCCCTTGCTGGGACAGGTTAGGAAAATCTACACAGACTTCGTCTTTGATAGGAATTTTAAGCAGTTAAGGTCATTATTCAAGACTGGAATTGTGTTTTAGGAAGCCCAGTAATTAATTGTGTGGCACTCATTCACTGTACTTCATGCTTCTTGCAATGAATAGCAATGAGTTGCAGTTTCCATTTTAAAGATTACTACGACATCAAGTAACACAAAAGAATCCTGACACCGAGCCATCTGAAAAATGGTTCAGTAACTTCACACATTGTATCATGGTGGAGTGGACGCTGAAGTATGTTTATATTTTCCAGAGTTTGAGACTGCGGCCGGTCCTGATGGATGACCTGGGGTGGATACATGTTCCCCTCCAAATAAGTGTGGAGATGTTCAGACCATATGAATGAGCCTGACTAAATATCACAGTATAATATACAAAATGTACACATCAATGGAGAGTCGTCCAAGAATTTCAAGTAGAAAGTACTGATTCAAGGGTCAAAAAAAGTGCAGAATGGTTTAAAATCTTTGTAGTTACTGCCTTGCCAATTGTATTCTTTTTCAGCAGAGCTGCATGACTGTCATCATAGTTCCTGTGATGTAGTGAGTGGGTTATTAGTAACTGAAGACAAAAATTACTACCAGAACAGCAAAGGAAAAACAGTGATTTCAGTAACTGGTGTGACTTCCTGCGCATTGATTGTAAAAAGAAAGCTAGCATTTGATGCAGGTAAAGGGAGGCAATGTATGCAGGAGGGAGAAAGGAATAGAATATTGATAGGGTGAGATATGGAGGGATAGGAAAAAGCCACTGATATCTCTGAACTACGTTCATTTCTATATTAATCAATATTTACTGCTAATTTTATTACAGGGTCCACCTGGTCAAAAGGGAGAGAGAGGTCCAAGGGTAAGTTCTAAAGATTAGTTTTAGCTCGCAAAGTTTTGTAACATCATTGAATGTTAGCACAGTCACTTTTCTTCCAAGATGTAATACTCTTTTAGAATACAGTAATTGGTAAACAATAATGTAAACGTTGACTAATGCCAAATGCAGCAAAGTCAGAAGTTTGAAAATTAACATGACAAAATGTTTTACAATCTGAGTATCATTTATGTTACTTAAAGTAGTTATGATAACTTGACAAATTTCTGAGCAAGAATCGACCAAAGTTGTAGTCTATACTGTGCAATTTGCGTATGTTATCCAAATTAATTACTGAACAATAGGCTTAACAGCTTGCGTGAAAATCCTGAAAATTTAACCAAGCTGTATAGGTTTATCAATGGAGTTGATTGCTGTTTATTCTTGGAAAATATATTTAAACAAGTAATGCATGCTGCCTTTGAAATTAATATTTTTCATTTGCAGAAAGATATTTCTTGGATCCATTTAAATTACAAAGTTATTTTGCAAAGTGTGGGGCTAGAATTAATGATTTTCCTGCAACGATAGTTCCACTCGGGTGCATTATTTCACACTTTGAGGGCATCAGGATGAAAGCACTTTTAAATATGGAGGTTTTGTGGCACCGTTTGGAATGTCCTTGCCTCTGAGCCAAAAGCTCCAGGTTCAATTCCCACTCCGGGATCTTGTGGCAAATAGGATAAATATTAATCTGAAAATCCTTCCACCACATGTCAATAGCAGGCAGTAAGAGTAGGAGAGATTCTTAGTTAGTCATGCTATTGAAAGAAATTGGAGCTTCTACCATCACTATCGATATTTCTAGGATATTACATCTGTGTAGTACTTGTAGCAATGTATGTTGTCACAGTAACTTGGGCTCCAAATGACCTATAAAACTCCATCACTTTAATATTATAAATGAGCTAAAATTGGAAGTTTAACATTGCCAATTATTCTTTTGACAAATCTTTAATATGGTGTTTGTGACCGTCTAGTACTGTCACCTGACCAGAAGTGGCTTAATAATGAGATAACAAAGTGTGGAGCTGGATGAACACAGCAGGCCAGGCAGCATCAGAGGAGCAGGAAAGCTGACGTTTCAGGTCGGGACCCTTCTTCAGAAATGGGGGAGGGGAAGGGGGCTCTGAAAAAAATAGAGGGGGGGGGGGGGGCGTTGATAGCAGGTAGATAGTGGAGTGGATAGGTGGGAGAGAAGACAGACAGGTCAAGGAGGCGGGGATGAAGCCAGTAAACGGTGAGTGTAGGTAGGGAGTTGGGATGGGGGTTGGTCAGTGAGGTGGGAGAGGCGGACAGGTGGCAGAGAAGACGGACAGGTCAAGGAGGCGGGGATGGGGGTGGGGAGGGCGCTGGTCTTGGGATGAGGTTTGCAGTGGGGAAATTTTGAAGCTAGTAAACTCCGCATTGAGACCATTGGGTTGTAGTGTTCCAAGGCGGAATATGAGGTGCTGTTCCTCCAGTTTCCAGGTGGCATCGTTGTGACACTGGCGGAGGCCCAGGATGGACATGTCATCCAGGGAGTAGGAGGGGGAGCTGAAGTGGTTTGCGACTGGGAGGTGTTGTTGTTTGTCGTGAACCGAGCGTAGGTGTTCCACAAAGTGGTCTCCAAGCCTCTGCTTGGTTTCCCCGATGTAGAGGAGAACAGCAGATACAATAGACCACATTAGCGGATGTGCAGGTGCACATCTGTTTAATGTGGAAGGTTTTCTTGGGGCTTGGGCTTGGGATGAGGGTGGAGGTGTAGGGGCAGGTGTAGCACCTCCTGCGGTCGCAGGGAAAGGTGCCGGGGTGGTGGGGCTAGTGGTGAGTGTGGAGCGGACGAGGGAGTCGCGGAGAGACCAGTCCCTCAGGAAGGCAGATAAGGGTGGGGAGGGAAATATATCCTTCGTAGTGGGGTCAGATTGCAGGTGGTGGAAGTGGCCAAGAATGATGCATTGAATCCAAAGGTTAATGGGGTGATACGTGAGGGCAAGGGGAATTCTGTCTTTGTTTTTATTGCGGGGAGGGGGTGTGAGGGCTGAGGGACGGGAAATGCAAGAGATGCGGTCGAGGGTGTTTTCGACCACTGAGGGGGGGAAATTGCGGTCCTTGAAAAATGAGGACATCTGGGATGTCCGGGAGTGGAACACCTCATCT